GTGAGGTTAGGATAAACGTCTTCTTTCCCCTGAATCGTTCATTCCCAGAGGTGCGGATCCACTTTCAGGCGTAATATAGAATGACCCTATCCAAGCAGTCTGTACTCAGGTTCAGATTCACCCACGACTGTTATAAATACCCGGACTTGTATGAGGGAACAACCCAATTGTGGCGAGGGATTATCATCATCCTTGATCAGAGTTTGTGAAGGCAAAATTGAGAACTGTTCAATGAGCCGCCAGACAAAAGGAGAAAAAAAGTCAGAGGAGTACCAAGTGCCTGGGGGGTCCAAGGTCTCTGAGAACAATAAAGCTTTCCATTCCGGAGGGATTGCAGAGATGATAGTTTCCTTCTTCTGTTGTAACTGTCTTACTTGTCCCAGACTAGATCTGATCTCCTCTTCCTGTTTCCAATCACCTCTCAGATCATTCCATAAATCCTCAATCTTAAGAATTCCTTTTTCAATCCAAGAACGTCCGAAGCTTCCTGGTGCCGAGTCGGCGGGAATAGGATGACCATTCGACAGAATAATCAAAGGTTTATCAAACAATGGTTGCGTTAAAACTTCGGCTTTCGTGACTGGGGACTTCCATTTCGATGGACAAATTTTCTTCCAAGTGCTGATAATTGCTTGCCAGAGGGGAGATTTAATCATCCTACTTAAAAAGGATTTAAGAAGGAGGGAGACCCAGACGTCTTTAAGTCTCTTCAGGTTCCATTCCTGCGAGAGGATTTGTTCAGCAAGGTCAATCCAGTGGTGCCGGTTTTGAGATTGGCTAGCTTTAACCACCCACTCAGATAACATTGCATCATTTTGCCTCTTCGGGTCATGTAGGCCCAGACCCCTTTCGGATCTAGACGTACAGATCATATCCCATGCCACCTTGGATATAAAGGAATCCTCTCCCTCTGCATAGGGTTTCCATATAAAACGTGCGCTTCGGTGTCTGACCGTGGTACAAAGTGGCAGTCCCAGTCTTCTTACCTTCCCAGCAAACCATAGTAGCGCAAATAGGGCACTGTCAGTTACCATCACCCTACCAAAAAGAGAAAGGTGAGACGCATGGCCCCACGATGAGATTATCTGGTTCACTTTTTCCAATAGAATATCGTCTTGATCGGCTGCAGCCGATGTCATAGACATTTGAACCCCAAGAAAGCGTTCGGAGTTGTTCTCCGAGATACGTTTCATTCCCCATTGGACAGTCATGATAAAGCAAGCAGGTAGGAAGAAAGTTGATTTGTGCCAGTTGATGGCAGCTTCTGAGAGGGAAGCATAATCATCCAGGCAGAGTTTCAGAGCATTTAAAGATTGAGGAGAATTACGAGAAACAGCAAATAAATCATCAGCTAGAGCTTTCACCTTCAGTGGAGAAGAGAGAGTTGGCAGACCTCCAATAGAGGGATGGGCCCGAATGTTATTAAGCAGATTTTCCATTTGAATGGCGAACAGAAGAGGGGCTAGTGGACAGCCCTGACGTAGTGAGCGAGAGAGCGAGAATTCCTCAGAGAGGCGGCCATTGATCATCATTGCAGCGGTAGAATCAGTATACAGGGCAATAACCCATCTACAAAAATTCTGGCCAAATGACATAACCTTCAACGTGGTTAAGACGTACGACCAATTAACCCTATCGTACGCCTTTTCCATGTCCAGTAGCAGCACAACTATGTCTAATTGGTCATTCTGAATTACCTCCAAGCTTTCAATGGCAGTGATGATGTTGTCAAATATGGATCTTCCTTGAACGAACGCAGCTTGATCTGAGTGGACCAGAGACGGTAAGTAGCGGCCTAGGCGTCTTGCCAAAATTTTGGCCAAGATTTTATACGAGATTTTCAACACTGAAATAGGATGCCAATTCCGAATCTTGGCACGCTCACCTTTTTTAAATAACACCGAAATGATCCCGTTGCACATATTTGCTGCCAATCTGCCGCCGGTGAGGACTTCATTATAAATTTGTACCAATCTCCTACGACATCCCAAAGCGCCAAAAAAAGTTCTACCGGAAGTCCATCGTCCCCTGGGGCTTTACCCTTAGACATTGACTTCAATGCTTCATGGGCCTCAAGCAGAGAAATGGGCCGATCCAGGCGACCTGTTACAGACATTGACTTCAATGTGAAGAGGTGAGATGTAGGTCAGAATTAATCTGTGCTCCCTGGAGACGAGCCCGATAATAATAGGAAGCATATTCACAAAGAAGTGTGAGTTCCTTGGCCCTAGGGGCCAACTCGTCAAAGGGATGCTTTAATTCCTTCATCCGGAACGAAGCCCTGCGAGGAAGGAGATCGTGTACTGAGCTTTACCATTCTTCCAACCGCTGGCAGTGTCTAGAACATAAATTATGCTACCCGAATGGCTGCGTCCCCACTCCAAACGCGGTATAACTGTAAAAAAATTTCGTCTTTTTCCTGTTTCCTGTGTGGCGGAGCGAGGTGCTTCGAGTGCTCTGTTCTTCTCTCAGCCCGACGTAACGGTAGCGCCCTTCGCGACGTACCCTATCAGGAAGTGACCTACCTATCAGGGGGGGGGGGTAAGCGAAAAGGATCGGGTCGAGCGCCCGAATCTGGACGTGCTTATGCAGAGATGCAGAAAAAGCAGATCAATCAGGACTCTGTACAACTCTCCACAAAAACGTCCAGATTCGGGCATTAAATCCAATCCTCTTTGCTAGTGGGACCTCACCCCCCTAGGCGACCTCCATTACACCGCCTACGAGATCTGCGCGACCAAGCTTACGCGATCTAGTGTAGCGTGGATTGGTGCTACCCTCTCTCTCTGCTCTCTCTCTCCTCTCTCTCTCTGTGTCTCTCTTTTTCCCACCCCCCCCGGCCCACTCAGGCGACCTACGATGCTGCTCTAGCTACGCGACCGGCGTGCTTCGTGCATTGGTCCTCGCGACGTACACTGGGGCTTTGTTTCCTCTCTCTCTCTCTCTCTCTCTCTCTCTCTCTCTCTCTCTCGCTTCTCTTGTGCTACGTGCACTGTGCTTGGTGCTTCGTGCCATTCCTGTTACGTGCTTTCGTGGACTCTACGTGTATTGGTGCTGGCAATGTAAATCTGAGCTACGTTAGTGAGCTTGGTGCTACGTGCTTGGTGAGCTTGGAGCTACGGGTATTGTCCTACGTGCTATGTGACATTCGACGTGGCTTACTGCAACGTGAGCTTCAGGCATTGTCTACTTCTGTGGAACTTGGACGACTGGGCTTAATCGCGGCCGAAGGTGTGCGCGTTGTGGATTGACTCAAGTGAGTCAGGACCTCCTCCCTCTCTCCTCCCTCTCTCCTTCTTCCCTCCGCCTGATCTCCGCCTGACCTTCTTCTCTACGCCGTCCGTCCGTCCTCCCTCCTGCCTCCTCTTCCTTTCTCCGCTCGGCCTCCACCTGACCTCCTCCCCTCCCTCTCCCTTTTCCCTTCCTCATCCTTCCCTTCCTCTTTCTCCTTTCTTCTCTCCTCTCCCTCTCCTTCTGCTGAATTGACTCATGACTGCCATTCGAATGCTGTGATTGACTTTGTCTCTTATCATTCCTCCTCCCTCGGCCCTCCCTTTTCATTCCCTCCTCCCCTCCTCCCCCTCCCCCCCGACCCTCCCTCCCCCTTCCCTCCTTCCTCCCTTGGTCCTTCCTCTCAACCCTCCCTCCTCCCCCTATCCCATGGCCCTTCCTCCCTCCTTCGGCCCTCGCTCGCGCCCGACCTACAGAATGCATTTCGTCTTCTATTTTCCCCCAATCGACGTAAACGCCGCATTTCGCGCGCGCGCGCGAGCGAGCGAGCGAGAGAGAGAGAGAGGCGTTTCTCTCTGCAGATTGAATCTAAGGAAGGGATGACAGAGGGGTAGGAGGGGGAATGGGAGAAGTTAGGGACAGAGGGGGGATATGTGTGTGTGTGTGTGTGTGTGTGTGAGAGAGAGAGAGAGAGAGAGAGAGAGAGAGAGAGAGAGAGAGAGAGAGAGAGGGCCCGGAAGGACCATCACCATCCCCATCCCTCCTCCCTCCCTCCATTCCTGTCTTGGCCGTTCTCCCTCGGCCCCGCTCCTTCCTCCGCCCTCGGCCCTCCATCCTTCCTCCCGCCCTTTCCCCTCCCTCCTCCCTCCCTCCCTCCCTCCTCCGGTGGTCTTAGTTTATCCCTCGGTCCTCTCCCCTCCCTCCTTCCTCACTTCTTTGTGGCCTAGGGAGTGCATTTCGGTGTTCGTCGTTTTCCCAGTTTACTTCAACACCACATTTCGTTTTCGATCCGAATAAGAGCAAGCGCGAGCGCGCAATAGGGAGGGGAGAGAGAGAGAGAGAGAGAGAGAGAGAGAGAGAGAGAGAGAGAGAGAGAGAGAGAGA